TTCGTTCACCTTGGATCCAAGTTAGGTGCCAATCCTGTCGGGCATATTGCACTTGGCAATCCGACTTGTATGTGACCGTGCTTCTGCACCAGCCTTCACGTGATCGTAGTACTAGAGCGTATTGATTACACCCAATCATGTTTGTGTCAGGGATTATCTATTCGAACTTAGGTGTCAACTTAGATGGATGAGCACTTAGCAATACTTGATTATCACATGATTATATTACTGTGGCATTTGATTATCATGACTTGGCATATTTCTAGTTATATTGCTGTTATATTGTTGTTTACGTACTTACGTAGTTTGTTTTAAGGAAACTATACTTGTTTTACAGCGAAGGTTAGTATGTTCGAAAATAAAGGTTTTTGTATAAGCATTGTTTTGCTAACCTACTCAACTTTGTTTTTCGCCCCTCCAGGACCTAAATAGCTGATTTGTTCATGGCACTCGAGGAACCTTTGGCAGTTTTGACATTATCTTTGGTTTAGACGTATGAACTTATCATTGTTGTGTAATAAGTGTACTTTAGCTGGTTGGACTACTCATTGGTAGTTGTACTGTCTTTTAAGCTTTGAATAATTGTAGTGGGTTACTCCCACGATTGTGCACTCTTCCACTGTTTAGTATAGTTAGTTCTAATTAGTTTTAAATTTATTCACTTTTTCACATCACTTACCCTTATGGTTATGTCACCTTACAGTGATGGCCAGCATGCGTCAACCTTCCTCGGTCGGGGTGTGTCAATATGGACCATAGGAAATGCAATGATAAAACAAATTGTAACTTTTTGCAGCTACCATGTGGTGCAATCTGAGTCATCCAACATCAATAATTTTTAAAAATCAACGGCCATGATTATTTCAACGGTGAAAAATAAAAATAAAATACCAAAAATAATTTTAAAAAAAATAAAAATACTCAAAAAAAAATTCTTTTGTAAATACCAACCACCTCCTTCATTCTCCACACATAACTCAATATTTATTTTAATATTTTTGGTGGGTTGTAATGCTATGTTTTTTCCTTGTATTTCAAATAAATTATTGAAATTAGACAATCTTTTTATTTTCTTGGAGCAAACTTACAAGGCATAAAAAATTAAAATATATATTTGTGAATAGTGCCCTTACCTTTGCCCTTCACAAATTGATGGACTTGTACATAGGCACTTACTATTGAGTGTGAATAGTAAAGGCAATTTTGTTGCCCTGGCCCTTTTAAAACGGATGAACTTGCCCTTGCCCCGTCGACCTTATTGCCTTCTTCCACTCTATCACCTGCATCAACAGCCTACATAAGCTCGCTTGCCTCCAAAACCTCATTGTCTCTTACGTCCAAGTCAATGTCTTTGAACCCACACCAATTTAACATGCGTCATTCCAAAACACTTGATTTGACCCTTACCCACTTCGATTTTTCTAGCAATAAGCTTCCGGGGAAGATTATCCAATTCCCTGTCACTCCTCAAAAACCTCGGAAGCTTAAATCTTTCTTCCAATTCCATCAATGGCTAAATAGCCTATTCATTCGGGAACCTGATTTGACTAAATAATGTATCTTTGTCCTCGAATTCTTTATTCAGCGGCAATCAAACTTAGATTTAGTTTATCTCAATCTGAGCTTGAATCAATATGAATGGAACAATCCTAAAGTTCCTCATAGAAATAAAGAGATTGAAGGACTTGAACCTCGCAATCGAGTTCTATGGCGTTCTGTCGTTCAATGAGTTGTTCATAGGTGGATTGCAATTGTTCAAGATTAGTAGGAACAGAAATGTGACGTCCCATATCGCCCAGATGAGTGATCCTTATATGTATATTCTCATCCGTACCTAGCACGAGGCCTTTTGGGAACTCACTGGCTTTGGGTTCCGTAGGAACTCCGAAGTTAAGCGAGTAGCGCGCGAGAGCATTCCCAGATGGGTGACCCATCGAGAAGTTGCTCATGAGTTCCCAAAAACAAAACCATGAGGGAATGGTAAGCCCAAAGCGGACAATATCGTGCTACGGTGGAGTCGGGCCCAGGAAGTGGTCCTACCCGGGCCGAGATGTGATAATTTGGTATCAGAGCCTAACCCTGGCCGCATGTGTGCCCACGAGGACAGTCGGGCCCCTAAGGGGGGTGGATTGCGACATCCCACATCGCCCAGGGGAGTGATCCTTATATGTATATTCTCATCCCTACCTAGCACAAGGCTTTTTGGGAGCTCACTGGCTTTGGGTTTCGTAGGAACTCCGAAGTTAAGCGAGAAGGGGACTAGAGCAATCCCATGATGGGTGACCCACTGGGAAGTTGCTCGTAAGTTCCCAAAAACAAAACCGTGAGGGAATGGTAAGCCCAAAGCAGACAATATCGTGCTACGGTGGTGGAGCGGGCCCGGGAAGTGATCCGTCCCGGGTCGAGATGTGACAAGAAACCTACTACTACAACCACTCTATCTTGTCGACTATATCAAAGTTGTGGAATTTGCACTATTACAAACATGGATTGACCGTGTCAGTGCCACCAACAATAGATGATGATTCGTCCAGGTATGACAGTAGCGATTCAGACTACAATGAAAGTGAAGGTGGAAAAGGGAAAAGAACGAGATGAAAGATGAATTTTATAATTTTGATTTTAAAAGAATTAATTGTTTTGTATACTTCACATGATACTATATTGTTGTGGGTCTTATATACGTATCACATCAACACAGTAATATAATTATTGACAAACTTCTAACGGAATGACCACATTGATGTGCTGTAGTTAATTTGATCTGACCCCAAATCGATCTATTTTGAAACTCAATGACCAAACTGAGGAGTTATGTCAATTTTAGGGATCATTTGCAATAAAAACCCGTCTTTTAAAGCTACAATTTTAGGGTTTTTCTATATAGCTTGTTAAATATTTAGAATTTAATAATTTGGTTAGTCAGGTTATATTTATGGGAGCTTTAATGAAAATGACTTAGACTAAGTTTATGTTAACAAAAAATTATCATATAACTTTATTTAGTGAAAAAGACTTAAATGTTAATGAAAATGGCTTAAATTTTAATGAAACGGACAGAATTTTAATATAATAAAAAATGAAATAGGAAAGGTAATAAAAAAACTGACACGCGAGCGCGTCCATCGCACACACTATTTCTAAAATTGACGGTACTGCATTATTTCTAAAACTGAACGTTACTACACTATTTCTAAAACTGAATGATACTACATCATTTCTGAAACTGAACACTATTTCTGTAAACTAAACACTAATTATTTTTTAAATTAAACATGAGTACTACCCTATTTTTGAAATTGAACACGGGTATTTCTGAAACTGAATACGGGTATTATTACTGAAACTGAATACAAGTTAGCATGCATTGACTATTTCTTAAATTGAATATGTTATATCTCCATGAAGTTTAACAACCATTCTTTCTCTCTCATCTTCTTGCATTTTCTCAACACTTTCTCATTTTTCAAACATCTTTTCTTCTTCTAATTTTCTTCGATTCCCATCAAATTTTCTCTAAATCTCATCAATTTCTTAGCTCATCAGTTTAGATCCATGTTAAGAAAAACAAAAGGCACGATTAGGTTGGGCCCAGCACTTGTCAACCACATCAACATTCCTCCTGCGTGTTAAGGAAAACAAAAGGCACGATTAAGTTGGGCCCAGCACTTCTTAACCACAGTCAACATTCCTCTAGCTTGCTTTATAAAAGCTCCAGTTTCCAACCTTCAATTCCAAACCGTAGTGGAATAACCGGTTTTTGATGCCTGGTTCAGGAGCATACCCTGGGTGTATCAGTATTGTCCTAGTTTCAACTACGTGGAAAAATTGTGAGCGGCGCGGGACACGTGCTTTGTTTGATTTTTTTTTTTTTCTCTTTACGAAAGATCTTATTATTAAATAACGTTATTAAATAACTTTTAACTAAAATGCAAAAATTTGAAATTTTTTTCATTAGTTTTTTCTATATTTAATCCTATTAATTTTTACCTACTTTTGTGCTTTAGACTTTATTTTTCTAATTATTAAGTCTTATTAGGTTTTACCTATTTATGTGCTTTTAATTTATTTATTTTTCTTCTACACATTAGCACAAAAATTAATCCCACAATTGCCACATCATCAGTGTAATTGTTTGTGTTTAATTTTAAATTAAAAATTCAAAATGATTTATGGCTGTACGATGTATGATAAACGGATAGGATGTGTGAATCCTTAGCAAAGAGGATCCTGATGGGAGGAATAGTCGACATTGAAGAACAGACAATGCCAGTTACCATCATAGTCGTGCTATTGGGACTTGGGTGTGGTACTGCGGGCAAGTTCTGCCTAGACACATTGGGAGGGAACAGTCGACATTGGGTTATATGGTGGGTGATTTTTGGTATAACTCATCATTTTGGTTCTTGAAATTTGAAATCAATAGTAGTCCCTGAGTTTGTCCACCATCAATCATTTTGTCTTTCCGTGAAATATCTATTAAATAAGGACTAAAATGATAAAAATACTTTCAATTTAATAAACACGGGCCAAAATGGCTATTCAAAAATTAAGGGTATTTTTGTTATTTTATATTTATTTAATGAAGATTTTTCACGTAATAACCAAAATGATTGAAGGTGAACAAACTTAGAGACCACTTTTATGGAATTCAAATCTCTAAGACCAAAGTGAGAAGTTATGTTAATCTCAATAATTATTTTGGCTAAAAAGCCTATGCTGAAATAACTCAGGCCGGCATTCTAATTTGTTTGTTCATGTAGCAGTAAATTTAGAGGGCCGTCTTGTACTATTAGCATTTCGAGCGTAGTAAGGAGGGGTTTGTGTCCAGGGGTTGGGAGGTTTTTAAGCTCTTGATGTGTATTAACAGACATTTAACCAAGTTAATTACTTAATGAAAGAGCCTGAGCCTGCTTTGTTTCGTTACTTCTAGACTGCGATTTGGTAGCGATTGCTGCCTCCAAGTTCCATTTACATTGTACAAGTTTCAGTGTTGTGCCTTGTGTGCGACCAAATTTTATAATACAAAGCAACTGTCAATCGGTTGACAAACATTTCTCCACAACTAGTACGAAATTCCAGCTTCTCAGCTCAACTAGTACAAAATTCGAATGCCTCAATGTATCTTACAACTTCCTCCTCCTATGCACAAGAGCACCTCAACTTCTATCTATAACTTCTGAATCTACAAGTTTACATCCGTCCTGGGTCGAGACATCTCGACGGCATTCAAGGCATTCTATATTGAGGCACCAGGGGGATTGCCTCCCATACCTTACCTTGTATAAACAACAATCAAGTCTTCGGCAGAGTACTTAATTCAGCACAGCCAAACGAGGCTCGAGACTTTCATGCCTTGATATCGAGGCACCAGGGGCATTGCCTCCCATACCTTACCTTGTAGTATAAACAACAATCAAGTCTTCGACAGAGTGCTTAATTCAGCACAGCCAAACGAGGCTCGAGACATTCAATCTGGCACCTTCTTGACCTTGGTGATAACAACACCTCATGAGCCTTGCCATAATACCTGTTGATGAATGGAGCATGCAAGGTAAGACCAGCCAAACAGAGTAAATATATTGAAGGGCTCTAAACCCTAAAGCATCAATTAAATAGAAAACATGCTAAAAAGGGGGAATGAAAAACGAAAAAACAAAGAAAGGCCAAGGAGAGGATGTCTTGACCATCATACCAACCCCGAAAAATCACAATACTTACTATTTGATTTTACGAACAGTCAATAAGTTGAAAAGATATCACTACCAAGCTTAAGCATTTGCTACGCCAACTTCCAATCAAGATAATCAGAGAAGCCAATATGATTCTTTCATGCATATCATGAGAAGCTAAGTTTGTGAATTTGACTTTCAAAATACGAACTATATTCATGATGTTACAGTGAGGAAGCCCAACTGTCTTCACGTACATTTTCTCAGGGTCTGGATTCTCTTCAAGTCAGGCCTAAATTTTGAATCATTACCGTATAACATCAGAATCCACTATCACAGCTGTGCTCACACGGCCTTAAGAACTCAAGGTTATCACCTTCCGACTCCCACTCTTCACTTCCTCTTCATACTCATTCTAGATCTCTCTGTTAGGTGTTTAATTCCTGCAACCCACCAACAAAAAGGCAATACAAGCTTTCCTCTCCTTTGTTTTTACTTTTGCAATGGTCTGTTGACAACTTGACATGGCTTAATTCTGTTATTTTCATTATCCAATATTACGTACTATTATCAAAGGCATTGAATATCCAGATTATGCCGTAAAATCGAATATATTTTAAGAAAAAATCTAGCCAAATAGTTAGTTTAGTTTCTTCCTCTCCACATTAAACAAAAACAGCTACCCTACAGAAACCATCACGTAGAACCCCTCTGTTTAAATTTTAAACTTCAAACCCACTACAAAAAATGCCTACAAGATGCAAGATCTAACTTCTTTTGAGAAACGAAGCAAGAGAAACAGAGAACTTAGGCATAAAACCATATTGAACACAAAATAGTTGGCATTGATGACACAAATCCGATCCCATATAACCAGACAGAATCTTTATCCTAGCGACTGATAGTGATAGTGCTACAACCAATACATTTGGAAAACCAGCTGCATCTGCTCAGTAAAGCAACAAGACCTCTGATTCAACCAAATTTTCCAATGAACAAGAAGCAACATTAAAGACATTCAAGATGGAAAACCATAGACCATTCAACATATTTTGAACATCCACCTTTAAAACATGACAACTATCCGCAACCCTCAACCTTGTAAACTGAATCAAAGCTGCTTTCACATACCAATATAAATCCAAAATATCAGTGTTTGGGACGTTACCTTAACAATTGAAATGTCAGGAGTATCTGGTGTATGTACAGGGTAGAACTTGTAAAACCTCACATTTTCAAATGCTGTTTTAGCTTCTTCACTCATTTCTTCAATGGCTTTTCTCCGGGTTTCCCTGGCCTATAAAAGAATAGAAAAGAGAAATATAAAAGTTAAACCGCTGAAAAACAGAGTATACTTTTAGAAAAATATTGTTCAAACGCACAAATACAATTCATGATATCTGCCAAAAAGAAAATACCTCTCGATTATATTTCTTTTGTTCACGGACTTTCTCCTTGACAAACTCCTGAGATAGAACAAAAAAGGAAAACCTGTCACTACTGGTGCAAGTAGAGGGGAAACAGGCAGAGAGAAGTGGGAAATTATGAGTCACAACCATCTTTAGTACATTTTACCTTGAATTCATCCTTCTGGTCTGCAGATAATTCCTCCTCTTCTATCAGTTTATCAGTGAACTCCTACAGATTTAGATGCAATTTAGTGCAATGCTCTTTATTGCTGTTCATATCATCTATTTGTTCTTAAGGAGAGGGGTTTGGCAGGGGAACAAATTCAACAAAACTCAGCTAAGCCAGGAATCAAAAAAAATTCTAACAGTCAACAGCATCACCTTGACAGAGCTAATAAGCAATAAGAAGTCACCAGGACATGCTATTAACACTTCACAGATCAAAACCTACCAAATGTTTGTAACTAGTTAAAATGGTTACAAGAATGCAAGGTTGCAAACACACTAGTACTTGAAGAATAAAAAAAAAAAGTAAATCAATAAATAGATGTTAACACACTTCTTTTTATATCATCAGATCTCTTTTTGGGGGTTGGAGACATTCCTGGGTCAAATTGATGAAAAAGGGAGTCAATAATCTCATCAATGCCAGATACTGGCATTTTTCAAGTAATTCCATCATGTATTAATGCATCGTTGATGTATTTGTAATTGCCTGAAAAATGCCAGATACTGTCAATGTAATGATTTCTTATATAAGACTACAAAGTATAAATAATCTAAATACTTGAATAGTGGGGCTATAATAAAATAAGCCTAGCAATTAAAATAACCGTGTCTGTGTCAACGGACAGCAACCGGATGCAAAAGACAGTTGATAAGAAGCACGATAAGCCATGTGATTTCACAACTAAATTGATCCAAAACATGCACAAACATCAAAAACTTGATCACGTACCTCCAGTTCATCCAATTCCCAATCAAATTCACAGTTAACCTGAAAGGGCCATAAAAGAAAGTCACTTCACAAGAGACCTGAAAGTATACGGTAATCATTCAAGTTCACATGAGTACATCAAGGAGTATGTTGTTTGTGCAAAAGCAGAAATGAAAAGCTTGATCTTGTAATTTATTGGTACAATTCCAGAAATTTATGGACATTGACAACCAGCATAAGCCTCATAGGGTTCAAATGGAGGCGTGCAAAACCAAATAAGGAAACTGTTATCCAACAGTAACAGCATGTTTGACAAAGATCTCACTGAAAGCATGCCCATGTGTTGTACTTAAATTAAAGTTCAGATGAAAAGAGAACAGATGAGGATGTAGGAAGAAAAGAATATTAGTTTAGGCATTGCTACATGTCTGGAAGCTAACCTAGTCCAGTCTTTCTTTTCCCAATTCTTTTTTATATATCTTTTCAATTTAGGAACTAATTCTTGAATATCCTGGATTACTTAGATTTAAGCCCTTCTGCACTCCTGCTCATCAAATCCGTAAACCCAGATAGACCCATACAATACATATCAAAATAGTTTTTGTCCATGGGTTTGTTTAACTAATAATTATTACCCTTACCGACTTTGGCTCTCCTGGAAACATTATTGGGACCTCAGTGCTCTGCTCGAGCTCATCTTCCTTGAAGGGTTGATAGAAATCTGTCAAAATGACCACATGCAAAACCAGTACAGTTCACCCAAAAAAAAAAAAAAAAAAACATAAATATATTTAAAACAGTACAGTCATTCAGTAGCAAATCAACATACTGTGACTAATGTCTATGAACTAACCTTTGATGAAAAGTGTCAGAAAAGCAACTACAAATAGATCAATCAAGATTTACTCATTTTAATTTTTTTTATATAAAAAAATTCCTGCAAAGCAGAAATAAAATATGGCTCTTCAAGACTATTATACTTAATTGTCAAGAAACCACACAACGTCTATCAACTTGGCTGTCTCTGTAGAAAGTTCAAAGTGCACAACGATATCAAGACATTGACAAACAAAAGTCAATACAGAAGCTTGTCCTAAAATCAGTTCAAAACCACCAACACTCAAAGTGCACCTATGCTCCAGAGGAATATACGGAATCCAACCATTTTCATTTGTTTCATGGGAATTATTTCTTCCGCTTCTCTCTGAACTGAGTTAATCCCAATCATATCGGAAGGGGGGAAAGGCAACACAACCTGTAACAAAGCAAAACCATAATCAAAAGAATTTAGCAAGTAAGAGATCAAGAATACGCATTCTAACGCACAAGAACATTACGAATCAGGTTTAGTGGTTGCCAAAATGTTAATCATTTACAACAAACCAGGTAAAAAGTTGAAAGAAACAAATTACAAAGGAAAGAAGAAATGTAGTATGCAAATTCCATATAAAAAATACCCGGCAATGCAACTGCAACTGCAACTTCATTTGCTTTTTCATAACCAAATAAATCATTTTCTACAAACATGAGATATACAACGAAAAACAAAGACAAAAACCATTTCGACGAAGCAAGCATTGCAGTCTAAGAAACTCAACTGAATATATAGTATGAAGAATCAGTAAACCAGTCTCGTTATAGTTAATTAAACAGTATGAAGTCCAGCTTCCAAAAAATAAAGGGCTTTTCTCTTTTGCTTTGTGTTTTGAAAATTAAAAGAGTGGACCATATGTCTAGTCTAGTTTAGCAGAGCAAACAGAGATGAGCTGTTGAAACTCACCGCGACCAGCCACCGGTATGCAAACAACTTTGTTTTCGCCATTGATGGAGACCGATTGAGCTGCGAAAAAGACAATGCGGGTTTCCGAATTCAAACGCAACGGGATAAAGAAAACAGAACAGAGAAGGTGGGCAGGTGAGAGAAGACAAGTAAGCTTAAGCTCAGTGCAGCCTAAGAGGTAGACATTGTTGGTGCCGACAGGGAATGCAGCCTTCCATAGATCTTGCAAGTTGCGGAGGTCCTCCGATTTCTTCACCCGCTTCGTCGTCCGAGTCGTCCTTGTGGCTTTGCTCGATTCCTTGTGCTTGTCTGCCTCCGCCTTCCGCTTGGTGCCTCTCCTCATTTTTTGCAGCCAGCAGCTTTGCTACTCTCAGGCTCAGCTTGCCTCGCCAGAAACGGAAGAGAGAGAAATAGGGTTTGGCGGTGGATGCGTATTCGAATTTTGGTAAGAGAGAGAGGATTTTGTGTTTTGCGTCAAAATTGTTTAATTTGATGAATCCGGATTTTAGATGGTTGGGAAATAGGGAGTTTTTATCGATATTAGTCAAAATTTAATATTTAATTTTATAAACGTTAGTTTTTTAAAAAATTCAAAAATAATATGAATAGCATTTAAATAGACTTAAATATTCTTAAAATTAAAACCAAATAAACATAAGAACGTAGTCGGTAATGTAATGGAAAATATTCTCAATTGCGGCCTCTTCTAACTACATAGTTTTTCAATGAGGAAAAATAGTCACTGACAAGTTGGCAACAGATTGGGATCTGAGGTTAGCATGCCTCATTTTGTATACATTTGATAAGAAAGATAACTTTTGGCAGCTGTACGGTGATTTTCTACCCAATCGGCTCGTGACTCTGAAACATTCATTTGGGCACTGAGTATCGCACAAACACGATGCATTGACATGCAAATGAGAATTGGTGCGCTTGTTCAAGATGCAAATATGCTAACGGAGCAAATGGAGAAACAACTATTCATTACAGGCATCAGGAATGTTAGGGAGACACCCATGACCGCAATCTTGAATCCCAAACTTTCTTGAATTTCTTCTATATATGGATGTGGATTTTGAGGGTATTTAACTCTATTCACGTGAGTTTTCCATTATAATTGAAAGTTTTTATAAAACTTGATATTTATAAAATTTGGTGTTAAATTTTGACTATTAATAACAATTACTCTTAATTAGGACAACAAGAAATGACTAAAGGGATGATAGACGAAATTGATGAGTTTGAAACCAAATTACTAAATTGACAAAATGTACAACATTACTTGTGATAAAAATCTTATTTGACAGAGAGGTTATATTTACACACCTCAATTTACTTTCCGCACACCTTTTTTATTTTTTAATATTTTTCTCTCAAGTGTTAGTGGTGTGTCAAAAAAATATTAACAAAATAAATGAGTATGGAAAAAGTAATTTGTTCTGTTAATATAATCTCTCTATTTGAAATATAAGAAATGCTAAGGAGACTCTCGCAAAGTGTGACTCTCTATAGACTTTCTATCAACACAATTTAAAGTTAATTTTTGTGCCAACATTTAAAAGTATTGGGTCAATTCTCGTTCGTCATCTCCTTTAGTCATTCTTTTCCATCCCAATTAAATAATGTAAATTTGGTAATGTACAATCACTAAGCAAGAACCGTATATGAAAATTTCATATCGTACGGCTCAAACAGAAATACCCAAACACTAGTTCTAACGAATGTGTGTAATATAAAGTTAGAAATTTATTACTTCTATGATTTATGATTCAATTTTTTTTTTTTTGAAGATACTAAAGAATAAAAATCCAGAAGCTCTTCTTTGTGGTTATAATGCAAAAAAATCAAGCCGGCTCATTCGTCTATATATTGATCGTTATATGCCTTTTGAATCTTCTATTTACCTATTTTCTTTGGTGTTATTTATGTGTAATGCGGCTTTAATGCTGTTTTATTTATTATTGATAGGAATTCTCTTGTTAAGACCCTATAGAATGGATTAAACCCTCAAATTCATACTAAAACCACGATTATTCAATAAAACCCTTTCAAACTAAGTCTAAGTCCCAAAATTCCCTGAGTAAGAACCATTGGATCATCACTTATTCAATGAATAGATATAATGACTAAAAATCCAAACCAAAGAAACCTTTGTTTTGTCCTTTGATCAAAATAAGCGTAAAAATAATATATATATATATATATATATATTTCTAAATATGTACTAGCATATAGGCACACACAAAATGTGTGTGAAATTTTTTTATTTTTGTTTTTAAAATGGAAGGAGACAAATCGTGAGAAGTGGAAGACAAGGAAGAGAGCTTTATTTTTTATTTTTTTAATTATATATATGTTAAATTTACATGTAGGGGAGGTTTTGAAAAAAAAAAAAAAGCCAAATTTTGATTGTATGAAATTACATTACTGCTCATATTTCTTATTTATGTTCAGTTTTAATTAGAGGGTTAGACTGGTAATTTCATGAGATTATAGTTGACAATGATGGTTTTATTAATGTATTTTAGATGTAAATTAAATAATTGTTGTCATTCGAGTGGGTCCATTTCAATCAGGTTATTAAAATTTCAACCCCTCAACCCACATATTCAATGAGTGTCACCGAAAGTAAATTTTTTAGGTTTACAACTCAACCCAATCTAACCAATTTTGCGTGGGTCGGTTGGGTTAGGCGATAAAGCCACTAAAATGGCCACCCCTTCCTTCAAAACTAACTTTCACCTTTGCAAATTTGAGTGCATCTCTAAAAGCAAGTCCACCCAGGCAATTGGGCAATTGAAGCCCCCAAAACCCCAACAATAATCTCCACCCTAGCCCAATCAATCGGGTCAAGACTACCAAACAACCCAATCAGGCAATTATAGCTTGATCCAGCGCCTGAGTGGTCTCACATCATGATGTTAGACACGTAACAAAAAAAATTTGGAACCAAATTTGCCATTTTTGAAACTGCCCTGTGAAACAATCTTGAATTTGAAACTTTGAACCCTTGATATTCATTCATATTAGGGGGGGTGGAATTGCTTTTAAGAACAATAGCCTTTGTCACTAAAATAGTATTCTCTTCGATGTTCCTGGCACCAACAATAATTTTATTAATAGGAGCACATTTTTCGTCCCAGATTTTTTTTATTATACGTTTATACCTGTAAATGTTTCAAACAAAAAAAAAGGAAAAAAATAAAATGCTTTCCTATGGAAAGGATACAGAGTTCTATAGTATCATCAATAAATAAAACTATCGCAAGTTTAAATTTATGAAAGGATTGATGTGAAAATCCATAACTATTTGGAAAACAATGAAATTGCATTAAAGTCTGAAATTTTGAAAGGAAGATATGAAAATGCGAGTGTTGCATACATGAATTGTAAGAATTATCTGACTTGTAAAAGCTGATGAAGAAGTCATGGAGCCATAATCTTCAAGGGTGACATTCTCCTCTCTATCAGATTTTCTATGTTCAACTAACGATAGGTTCTAGACACTTGCTGGCTGCTCAGGTCTTTAAGAGAACCGTGTATTCCGATGAAATGATTGAGAACCTATTTGGTTGTTCAACACCTTCGATACTGATGTTAATGTATCAATTCGTTTTTCACCATTAATAAAATCAATTTATCTTTAGAAACAAAAATATATGAGAATTTCCACTCGTAATATCCCTTAAACCTTCTGTGACAAATCCAAACTTAGTAATAAGTGATAAGTTGGATAATATTGATAATATTTTAATATTCATAATATTAATCTAAAAATTTATCGCGTAACAGTGTATCCGTGTTTGTAAATTATTCTCCTTCCTTGGACCATGTCCATTAGAAATTTGGCAAGATCACCAGAGTCGGATGCCACTTGTCATCATCATTGCCAAAAAGTCCATGTGGATCTCGTGGAAAACCTCTCATCATCGTCAAGGAAGCATAATGGCACCCCCACACAAGTCAAATCACCGTAAACAGCCTCTTCTCCACCACGTGCGGATTACATTTCAAACAACGAGATTAGTAGACAAATTAACAGCTCAGATGGCGAAAAAAGTCGTCGTATGCTTTGAAAGATAGATCATTACGAGCCCAGACTGGTTACGTTCTTTAAAGTAAATCCGTGATTACACAGTTCACAGTTCAATTTTGACTCGCTTTTACTATGCTTCCATAAAAAGTGGCCCAAAACCGTTGGGGGACCCAACAATGTTTTACACGCACTACCGGTGGATAAGAAAAGGCCTATAAATCCTAATTGGTTGGGGGCATCTAGCGGCCTCAGTGCGAACAGATTTTTCATTGTGATCGGTACACGAAATAGTACATCATATATTATTATTTAAATGATGTGATATGTGTGTTAAAAAGTTAATACTTTAAAAAATAAAATTTTCCATCACTTCTATAAAAACAAGTGGTATACTACTCGTATTTCAGTCGAAAATTTCTGCTCAGTGTACATCTTAGCACACTACTGTGCCCTTCTCACCCCACTTGCATTGCTTTTGGAATTAATTATATTCATTCATTTTTTTTATTTTTATTTTTACTTTGGATGAGATATATTCATTGGTTTGGGTTACTTGTGGCCACCATAAACCCTAAACCATGGGATACAAAACTCCACGCGCCCTTTAATTAATATTTTTCTTTTATTTGTTTTGAAATCTGACTTTGTTGCAAATATTTTTAGATTGTAATTTAGGGAGGACTATGGTATATGCATTTTTAATATATTCATCATCTAATCGTCATAAATATAACCAATATAGAATATTATATTTTACTATATCCACTATTAGATAATGGATATTTTAAATAAACGCAAGGATAGCAGTTAAGTCCCTATAATGCAGAACTAGTTACAGTACTTAACATATTCGTCATCTAATGGCTAAATATACAATGAAAAAAAAAGAAAATATAATAAATTAAAGGAAAATTTTATTTTAACTTGTATAACCTTTTTTTATACCTAACTTACTCTCTATAGTCATATCACTTTTAATTAAATTATCAATCTCTTTAAACCCAAATTTACTATCAAACTACCCTCATATACCCAGTTCCATATATAAATTTATCTTTAAACCATTTAAAAAATAAAAATCCAAAATTAATGTTCTGCAACTTATTCAAGGCATAAAGTGTCACATCCCGGCCCGAGCCCCCACCACATTCCAGGCTCAACTCCACCGTAGCACAATATTGTCCGCTTTGGGCCCCAACCATGCCCTAACCGTTTTGTTTCTGGGAACTCACACAAGAACTTCCCAGTGGGTCACTGGGAAGTTCTCCTATCCTGAGATTGCTCTCGCGCGAACTCACTTAACTTCGAAGTTTCGATGGAACCTCGAAGCTAGTGAACTCTCAAAAGGCCTCGTGCTAGGTAGAGATGAGAATATACATATATGGCTTACATGATCCATTCCCCTAGACGATGTGGGATGTTACAATCCACCCCCCTTAGGGGCCCGACGTCATCGTCAGCACACTTCCGGGCAGGGATTTACTCTGATACCAAATTGTCACATCCTGGCCCTGGCCCTGGTCCCCCACCACATTTCGGGCACGACTCCGCCGTAGCACGATATTGTCCGCTTTGGACCCCGACCACACCCTCATGGTTTTGTTTCTGGAAACTTCCCAGTGGGTCACCTATCTTGGGATTGCTCTCGCGCGAACTAGCTTAACTTCGGAGTTCCAATGGAACTCGAAGCCAGTGAGCTTCCAAAATACCTCGTGCTAGGTAGATATGAGAATATATATATAAAGTTTACATGATCTATTCCCCTGGGCGATGTGAGATGTTACATAAAGAGAGTAACATCATTTATATATTTGTCGCGGACCTAACTTTTGCTAATTTTGCTTAATCCATACATATTTTAATTAATCATGCATCTACTAATTTTACTTAGTTCCATATAGATGATTAAAAGAAACTAAAAAAATTTAAATCCCATAGGTTTCTGATAATAATTATGCTTTGGAAAATGCGCTAACTTTGTTCTTAAACCCTATACAAAATTGAAATCGAAAAAAAACTAGCATAAATCAAGTCATATCTTAGTTATAGGATAACTTCAAAATTTCAAAATTATCGTCCATCATTCAAAAAGAGTTTGTTTTTCTCTATGAGAGCATCTTAGAGTTTTAACTAGAATGAATGTAGATAAAGATTGTGTGATGGTATGTTTTGATTATTGAGTATGAGTTTATTTATAAATTAATTTTATTACTAATTTCATTGTGTACTTCATGATAATTATGTAATTAGCTGTGAAAAGAAATTATTTGGATTTAAATAAAATTTCCTAAATTAAAATTGAAAAAGTCCACGTGATTGTCATGGATTCATGTCACTGCCACAAGCCTCTCAAAAAAAAAAAAGAGGAAAATTTTATTTGAATCCATTTGACCTCTTTCTACCCAAAACTTACTTTCTTCACCCATATTGTTTTTGAGAGCTACTAAACTCATCCCATTGTCCTATTTTTCCACTCACATTTTAATAAAAATTTCAAAGACATGTATAGCCTTTTAGGAAAAGACTTTTAAATCCCATGTTTATCTCCCCCACCGCCTCTCCCTTCTCCATTCTCTCTCTTCTCGGCTTCTCCACCAACCGTTACGTTGTTTCTTCCCATCTCTATCTCGGAAACCAGTCTCAAATCATTCAAATCTCTCCCTCTCTTTCAACCTCCCTCTCTCTTCCCCAACCCAAATCTTATGTCACCTACAATCCAAATTGCATCACTGAACATAGCGGAAACCTCTCCTCACCCAATATCCCTTTTTACCCTCTTTGTCTATTTGTGATTTCTATTTGCTTCCACTGTCAATTTTGTATTCGAATTAATTTTGGAATTAATCAATTTTCGAGTTAGGGTTCATTTTTATTTGAATAAAACAAGATTGGTTGTATTCGCATCTGACTCCAACAAAACCAATGACTATGTGGCTTTCAAGGTTGTAAATTCTCACCCTTTTTAATTTTTCACAAGATAAGTTAATTTCTGGGTTTGTTCAGAGATTTGCAATCTTGATTTTGGTGCAAAGTTAGTTCTTGGAGGTGTGGTGTTTAAAGGTTATTTTAGAAATAACAGTGGGTGGGGAAATAAAATGTTAAGTTTTTAATTTTTTATGGTGGGTGAGATAATAAGGTGGGTGGGAAAATAGGACAATGAGGTCGGTCTAACATCACTCTTGTTTTTTATTAAATAATTAATATCTCTTTAAACCCAAATTTATTACCTAAACTACCCTCTCAAACTCAACTCAAAATGTAAAATTATCTTTACACTCATACCCTTTTATAAAATAACATTTCTAATTGAATGTTTTTTTTTCTTTTCAAAATGGCATCCTTTGCCCCTCTATAATTGCATATGCCGTATATCACTAACATTTCCATGGTTGCTTTTTTTCTTTCTGCTACCACAACCCATCCATGAACTTTCTTCACCCATATTGTTTTTTTATTAAAGAATTAATATCTCTTTAAGTCCAAATTTATTACCTAAACCACCCTCTGAAAGCCAATTCAAAATGTAAAATTATCTTTACACCCATTCCCTTTTATAAAATAACATCTCTAATTGAATGTCTTTTTTCTTTTCAAAATGGTGTCATTTGCCCCTCTATAATTGCATATGCCGTATAGGACTAGCATTTCCATGGTTGCTTTTTTTCTTTCTGCTACCACAACCCATCCATGGACTTGGGATCCAAGAGATCATTCCATAGATTTGAATTTGCCAAGAGAATGTTATGCAAGCCAGTTCAATCCTTTTTAAATCGAGAATTTTCATGTACTTTTTATGAAACTTTGAAGTGACATAGGATTAGGTGTTTTGCTGTTATGTTAATAAACAAATAAACAATTAATTTCATTTTGTACTCAATAGTAATTATGAAATACGGTAAAATATAAAATTAACATTTAAAATTTAAAATTTATGTATAAAGAGGTTAGATGGATTTAAATAAAAATTTTCAAATAAAAACCAAGTACATTTACCGGTTACTATGGCAAGTGCTCGACACGTGTCGGTCAAACCATCCCTAGGGCTTGGAGGTCAGCGTGCGTGGGGTTGAAGCAGCAGCCGCTTCTTCTTTCGTATTTTGCTTTGTCTGTCCTGTCTCTCCCTTCCCCCGGACCTTTGGGCGATAAACTTCAGAATTCCATTTTTGTCCTCGTCTCTTCTCCCCCGTCTCTCCTCTCTGTCGCACGTAGGTTATGGACGGTGCTTAATTTTAATGGCTGCTGCAAAACCCTAGCCGCTTTCTACTGTCAAAACGACAGGACCTGTGAGTTCATCTTCATCATTTCTCAATTTTATCTGCAATTTCATTGTTTGAGCGCTGAAAGTTTTGGACATTGATGTATTCTTTTGTTCAATTTTTTGATTAATTTCGAATTTTGTTCCATATCATCTTTCTTTTGATCCCTGTTTGGTTCCCGAGAAAATTGAGGGCGGGGAAGGGGCTGGGAAATGTAAAAATGTTGGTTAACTTTGCCCATCAATTGTGCTGAACTTATTTTTGTGTTTTCAATGTGCCCACCAAACAAAACAAGTTGTGTGGATTGTTTCTGAAACTTAGTTGTATGTGTTAAAACCGTGAACTTTCAGGTCGTGGTTGTGATTTGAAGGGCGTCTGAGTTTTGTTTGGATGGATCGGTTTTGGAGATAACTGGATTTTCGTAAGGAGCGTTCGAGTTTGAACGAAGATAAGAGTTAGAATTGGGCATATATTGCTTGTCCTTGTTCAGAATGGCAGAAGACGGCCTACGAATTGGTGGGCTTTCTTCTGGTCTAGCCGTGTTATTGAATGGCGAAGGCAGTAAAGAGAACTCGTTGAAAACCCATCTTGTTTCAAATTGTGATGATTTTGGCCATCAATCGGTGGAGCGTACCTTAGAGTATGTTCTTGGTCTCCCTAATAAATCTGTTGGGTCGCTGGCCAGTCCAATTGACAGCAATCTAGTTCGATGTTTGATACAGAGTGAATTCTCTAAATTGCATGCAAGTTCAAGTGTGTTTGGAAACAGAGATGGAGTTTGTATTTCTGGAGATGGCTGTGCGCCCCACATCATTGGTCTTGATGAATCCAGTATTCGTGGTGATATTAGAGTTATGAAGCCACCTTTGCTTGTAGAGAGCTTGGCAATGTTCAGCAGTGCCAGGGCTAATGCTTTTGTGTGGAAAGGTAAATGGATGTATGAAGTTATTCTAGAAACTTCAGGTATTCAGCAGCTTGGTTGGGCAACTGTTTCTTGCCCTTTCACTGACCATAAGGGTGTAGGTGATGCTGACGATTCATATGCATTTGATGGGAGGAGGGTTAGAAAATGGAACAAGGAAGCTGAGCCTTATGGTCAGTCATGGGTTGTTGGTGATGCCATTGGCTGCTGCATAGATTTGGATTGTAATGAAATATCATTCTACAGAAATGGTGTCTCACTTGGGCCCGCATTTCATGGCATTCGTAAGATGGGACCAGGATCTGGATATTATCCTGCAGTTTCTCTTTCTCAGGGCGAAAAATGTGAATTAAATTTTGGGGCCCGCCCCTTTAGATTCCCCATTGAAGGCTACTTCCCCCTTCAAGCACCTCCATCCTTGGTTCCGTTTGCTACTCAGTTGCTGTATTGCTTGTCAAGGCTGTTGGGTATGCACTCTGTGGAGCAGGCAAATCACTCTTCTGTTCAGAAGTTGAGGAGACTGAAGCGGTTTGTTTCACATGAAGAACTTTTTTATCCTGTTTCTCATGGCATATGTGAGGAATTTTTCTCAGTACTTGGAGCAGATGTGTGGAGCAGAGAGTACATTGCCTGGGGTCCATTTCTATCATTCATGATGGAAGTGTTCGGGTTGCAGATTCCACATGATTATTCGAGTTTAGATAGAGTTCTTGATGTCTTTCTAGAATTTGAAGGATCACATTTGTTGTTTGAACATTTCATAAATGCCTTGGCTTGTGGTTGCAAAACAGCTCCGCTGGTTCTAAAAGACTGCCCATGTTCAGGGTCGTACCCATACCTTGCGCTGGCATGCCACATCCTGCGACGACAAGAACTTATGGTGCTTTGGTGGAAATCACCTGATTTTGAATTCCTTTTTGAAGGTTTTCTGTCACGGAAGAATCCAAACAAGCATGACCTTGAATCCATGATACCATCTGTTTCTTGGCCGGGTTCAAGTGAGGATGTGTCATATGAAAGTAGCATGTTGTTGACAACTAGAGCTTTATCTGAAGCTGTCAGTAAGGTAATAACATATTGAGCTAAAGAGCTTGATTTTATTCGATGCCATTGTTGAATTTATCTTGTTTGTATTGTCCATGTTGTATTGAGAACATGAAATTTGGGCTAAGTGATGAATCTTTTGGAAAATATTAATCATGATAAACTAGAGTGGAAGTATATGGAAACATTTGTTAGAGTGATTGAGCACGAAGTATTATGAATTTCACAATTTCCCCCGTGGATGATTTCAATTAGGTCAAGTCACGTATATAAGTTAGTTTAGTGTTCAATAAAATTTTAAATCATTTACATTGTCAGTACACATAAATGTCTTTCTATTATTTCTACCAGGAAACATACATATAAGATCCATTTGAAACTATGAGTAGGATTCTACAGTAATCCCATGAAACTTTTTATAATATATTTGATTTTTTTGAAATTTATGGTGCATGATATGTTTCTTGCTTTTTTTTAATTAAAGGTAAAGGCATAATGAACAATATATAACATACGCAGCTTGTTTTATTGGGGTTTTCCTTGATCGTAGTTATTTAGAGCTTATTATGGGGAACGTTCACATTGTGCACTTCCACACTAATTTTTAGCTGACAATACATATTATTATTCGCAGATTGAGGAGAAGCATAGGGATCTCTGTCACTTGGTCATACAGTTTATACCACCTGTGACACCTCCCCAGTTTCCTGGTTCAGTGTTCAGAACTTTTTTACAGAACCTTTTAATAAAGAATAGAGGGTCCGACCGCAATCTTCCACCTCCTGGAGTTTCAAGCAATTCTGTTCTTGTTTCTTTGTACACAGTCATACTTCATTTCTTATCCGAAGGGTTTGGCATGGGGGATATTTGCGGCTGGTTGAAAGGCACTGAAAATGGCCCTGATGTTGGTTTTCTTCATAGGGGTGGTCACCGAAGCTTTCCTGTAGGTCTATTTCTTAGAAATGATCCTCATCGAAATGACAGTTCTAGGCTTGGAGGGTTGTTTAGTCATCTTTCAAAATCATACCAGGCATATGATGAGGAAACAGAACTAATTCGGTGGGAGGAAGGCTGTATGGATGATGAAGAAACCAGAGTGACTCATTCAACTACAAAAAAGCCATGTTGTTGCTCGTGCTACAATGATGATTTTACAAGAATCTCGAAGTATCCAATTCGACACACAGCCAAAGGTTCTCGTGTCCATTGCAGTTCCATTCCAGAGAGATCTGCCCATGTTGCTACAGAATGCAGTACTGGAAGTTTGAATGATGAAATAGAAGATAAACCTAGTTCTAGTTATCAATCTGAATCTGAATTTAGTTATCGCCCAGTGCAGCATATGAAGTTTGTACAAAGGGAAAGTAATATATCTTCAGCTACACTCAGAGAAGAAGAACTTCTAGACGTTTTGCTGCTGTTGTATCATATAGGTCTTGCACCAAATTTTAAGCAGGTAGGGAGATAATGGGGTATGATTGTTCGTCTTTACAGAATACAGAATTTTGCTGATAAATGTTTTTGTTATCCTTAACCTAACGTGCTCAATATCAGTCTGATTGTGGTTGGCTTTAATATTCTTAAAAAGATGAAAATTTGTTAAGGCTAAAACGCAGGAATTTTGATCTTCTATTTGTTGATTTGAATGGTAAACTGTTGTCTGGTTTTATCCTTTCTTGATTTAATTGTGGTCTTCTATTTCTCATTCTTTTATTGTGCTATTTTGTTGTGAGCTTTTATTTATCAATAATGATCATTGTATTCTTGCTGATTAATCTTAAATGCCTCAAGGAAAAAGCTGCTATCCTGTTTGTATCCCCCTTGTTGTGCACATTTGTGTCCGCTTGTATCCTGATTGCTATGAGATTTCTGAATTATTGAAACTCCTGGTTGCAGGCATCGTATTACATGTCTCACCAGTCGCAGTCAATATCCCTCATGGAAGAAGCTGATAAACAATTAAGAGAAAAAACTAGCAGTGAGCAATTAAAGCATTTGAAAGAAGCTCGTAATGGTTATAGAGAAGAAGTTATTGATTGTGTCAGACAATGTGCTTGGTAAGATGACCTTGAAGATTAGCTTGTTTCCATAATTTGTATGACTGTTTCATCAATTTTCTTGCCTCCAAGTGTTCAGAAGATTTAACTGAATTTTGCCCCCCATTTTTCTGTTTAATATACATAGCACTATTTGTTAGTTTAATTTAACCATATTTATAGGTATACTGCTCAGTGGAGTCTTGAGAATGATCTCTGATAAAAGGACAACTAAACAAGTCATTTAATTTATGCAATTTATTATGCACCCGAAAATATTATACATATAGTAGTTATTTGCACACATTTACCTACATCTGTTTCCTTTCGTCACTCTGTCATGCCTTGCAGGTACCGTATTTCTCTATTTTCTCGATGGAAGCAAAGAGGAATGTATGCAACATGCATATGGACCGTCCAGTTGCTTTTGGTTCTTAGCAAAGTTGATCTACTGTTCCTTTATATCCCTGAATATTATCTGGAAGCTCTTGTAAGTTAACTCTTTTTTAATTGAACATAACACAGTTTGATATGCAATGAATTGTCGTCATAAAATTACGTGAGCTTGCTTTTGAGTATGAATGCTTGTGTTTTCCTTCCTGATAGGAGAATATTTGTGTTTTCCCCTTGTTTTTGTAATAAGCAGACTTTGGTGTTTGCACTTGTTTTATTGCATGTAATAAGGATAACCGTTTCATCAGTTTATTTTTTAAATTATATCATTCAATGTTTCTTTGATGGTGACATTTGCATGTTACTGAAACTCTCAAGAAGAGTATCAGGTGGATGCAGTATGTGCTCACCCTTAGAGTAGTTCTGGAATTACATTCGGATACAACTGCTAGGGAATATTCTGAGACAGCAAGTTTTTAATTTTCTACAAATAAGTCAACCTCTGATTTTTGATATGTGACAAATCTAAAAAAGAGAGAAAAAAGTTTATCTGCTTGTTAAAGTTTGTGGATATACTGGATTTAGCTGCAAATTGCAATGAGCTTTTGTGCCAGTTCTTCCGAAGCACTATATTTGGAATTATTCATTACTCTTCTATTTCCTTGCAGGTCGATTGCTTCCATGTATTGCGCAAAAGTGATCCTCCATTTGTACCTTCATCGATATTTATCAAGCAAGGCCTTGCTTCATTTGTATGTTTATTCTTTTAACGTTGTCTTTCCTACTTACTATTTTATGCTCTGCTCTGCTTGGGGTATAATGAAATATACAAAATGTAGGCCTCATGGATTTGACAACGATAAATTATTTGGTTTAGATATGATAGTTGAGCATCGAGATAATTTATATTTTGATTTACCTGAACAATATTATCTCATAAATTCAATATTTAAGCATGCCTATGAAGGAAAACAATGTCTTATGTGATTTTCCGCACGTTTGTTTTGGTTCATATAATTTGTAATCACACATTGTTCGTATAATTTTTTCATCTCAACAAATAGTAGATCCTCTGAAATTTGGATCCAGTCATTGACAGGCCAAAACATGGCCTGACAGGACTTAATGAAGATTATGAGTTATTTCTTTTGGATTGTTTGTTTTCCCTAGATTTTTGAGCGTCTTGTTTCCCAGGTCACTTTTGTGGTCACGCACTTCAACGATCCTCGAATATCGAGTGCAGATCTTAGGGATCTGCTTCTCCAATCAATCTCAGTCTTGGTACAGTACAAAGAGTATTTGTCTGTTTTTGAGAGTAATGAAGCAGCCACCCAAAGGATGCCTAAGGCATTGCTGTCAGCATTTGATAATAGATCCTGGATTCCTGTGACGAACATTCTTCTGCGTTTGTGCAAGGGATCTGGCTTTGGTTCTTCAAGGCATGGAGAATCGTCATCTTCATCTGTTGTCTTCCAGGTGAATGTCCATTGGCGCTTTAGGATTTTTATCCTATACTTTAATACAACCGAATAGTTTCTGATTTTTCTTTTACCTCTTAATCCATGTAGAGATTGTTAGGAGAAACATGTATCAATGATGAGGAATTGTTCTCAGCTTTTCTCAATCGCCTATTTAACACTCTCAGCTGGACAATGACTGAATTCTCAGTTTCTGTCAGAGAAATGCAAGAGAAGTACCAGGTATGGATAAATATTGTTGTTATTTTAATAATAATAATTATTATCATCATCGTTATATGTTTTACTTGGTTTTATCTCTGTTTTCTGGATATATATCTCTAAGCTTAAACACCTTGGTCCTTTTGAGAAGAAAGAGTTTCATGCGGTATTATATATAGGTATACACACATTGAAGGAAAATTTTTACATGTCTCAGGGCTTGTTTGGTGGAGTTTACAGAAAACTTTCAAACTTATTTGGACGTTTGAGGAATGGAAATGGAAATCAGTTTTGGTGTTTTTGAATGAACTGCTGTATGGAAGCTGTAACTTAGAACCAGTTTTGTATTTTCTGAAACCTTTTTCATAAAGTGAAAACGTATTTGGAAATGACCACTAAATGAAAACATGAATTCAAAGCATCCTTAGCATTAGAAATTATTGTCTACTACAATTTCTGTGCATGATGCTAGGAATTTATATTAAAGAATACTTTTTTTGTGCTTTTAGTTGCTGTAAAAAAAAGTGTAGTGAAAAATCCAGTTCTGAAGATGGGTAATACAACGTAATTAAAGGCCCATAACAAATTAAGTGAAGCAAGTCTGTCTTTGTCTAACTTGGACTGGCATGCGAATTCGTCTCTGCCTAGATCCAATGCCTTATCGACAAACCCTAGCCATGTATTTGGGCAATCCAAACCCTCAACTCGCACAAATCCTCTGGTGGAGCCTTGGTATGGAGTACTCTTTACTGGAACAAATCCTGAAGGGAAGAGATTACTCAAGACCATGGGCACGATGCCCACAACCACAAGGCCACTCAAAGCCTTGATGTGGGTTGATAGGGCAGATGAGTACTGAAAGGGGGAAGTGCTTTCTTGTTTGTACACATTATAAGTGAAGAAATAACTGGGCAGAATAAAGAGTGAATTTTTTTCTTCATGTCTATAGTAGTTTTTGGAAGATAAAAAAGATAACCTCTGAACTGTAACTCGGTTTCCAAAATTTCTTGAAAGCAGAACCAAATATGTTTCTTACTAAATAATCAAATCTCTTTGGGCAGAATAAATAACGAGGGCACATTTGTTAAAGCTTACTTAATATTTTAAGTTACTTCTGTTTGAGACCCCCTTATTTGGATAAAATATGTACAATCAATATGCTTTTTTAATTTGGACCTTGTCTGAACTTTGGTTTATTTTTCTTAATAGCAAAATAGAATAATGTTCTAGTTTTGGTTTTGGATAATGAGATAATAATGGAAATAAATGGCCTAATATTTGACCAGTTTGACTTGGCTATTTTATGTTCCAGTCTTTCGTATTTACCCTTCAGACTTCTTTTGTAATTTGAGAAATTTTTTTTTGCAGGTATTAGAGTTCCAGCAAAAGAAATGCAGTGTCATATTTGATCTTTCATGTAATCTTGCAAGGCTTTTGGAGTTCTGTACCCACGCGATACCTCAAGCATTTCTGTTTGGAGCTGAAACAAACCTTCGAAGGTTGACCGAGTTGATTGTCTTTATTCTGAACCACATAACTTCAGCAGAAGATGCTGAGTTTTTTGACTTGTAAGATTCTATGCTTTCAAATGCACTCTACTATTGCTTTCCATTTTATCTTCTGAGATGATATATGCACTCCAAAAATGAAGTCTCACACTTCTTTATGCCCTCACATTAAGGCATGCAATAAAATTCTAGAGTGCAAACAAAGTCCTCCTCTATCTTTCACAGTGTTTTCTTTTCCTCATTTATCTTTTTTGTCTCCTTTTTTATTTGATATGAATGATTGTGCTGTAACTGACATGCTGCATTGTACTGTAAAGGACGCATATTCATGTAAGGGGATTGGTATTTATTGCAAACTGTTTCATGAGCTTCATTTCCTTATATGATTCCTAATGGTTTTCAGATTTATTTGGAATTTTCATTGTTAATTTTAAACTTTTGTAGCTTGGTCTACCTTTCCCATTGTTGGTTCTCATGATCTTGTCTTTGATAATGTGAACCTGGTCTGTTTACTTAGCTACCTTAACATTTATGGATTTTTTGGCAGGTTGCTGAGACGACATGGTCAATCTTCAGAAAAAGTAAACCGAGGGATGATATTGGCACCTCTTGTAGGAATTATCTTAAACTTGTTAAATGCCGGTGAGCATATGGAATGCAGGGAGCACAATGATGTTGTGAGCATCTTTGCAAGCATGGGTTGCCTTGACAGTTTTCAATGCAGATTCCAGTACCTATTGGATTACAACTGGGTTTGCTCCTCTCTCTCTCTCTCTAACAAAAAACAAATTCTTCTTTAAACTCCTTTTTTTCTGCTCCTTGGAAGCAAGTTCATTTCATGTGTAATGTTGACTGCTTGTGATGATATGAGAGAGACTGAAATATCATACTATTTGTCAATCTGGTTTTATCACTGGTCCTATCTTGTTTACAATTGAACATCAATAACCACGATTAAAGCTCTACATTGGATTGTCTGCAAATCTTTCGTGTTTGCTGTCCTTGTTTATACTGTAGTTTGTTTATTTTTCAGGCTGGAACCTTTAGAGGCGATGCTTATCTTGTAAAACTTGCCCAGCTAGAGAATTTTCTGAGCCTCCTCAGCCGGAGCCAATCACAAGAAAATACAATATGCGAGGGAGAAACGGATGGGGATGATGGCATGTGCTGCATCTGTTATGCCCGTGAAGCAGATGCTCAGTTTTCACCTTGTTCCCACAGGTCATGTTATGGCTGCATAACCAGGCATCTTTTGAATTGCCACAGGTGCTTTTTTTGCAATGCAAGAGTCATGGACGTTGTCCGGATCAATGAGAAGACAGGTTGAAACATTGCTTTGTAGTCTTTGCTTTTTAGTTTGTGTTCTCGTCTCCCCTTCTAGTGATCCTTGAGGTAATCAGCAACCGATCAATTGCTGCTGCCTAAGCGACAGCCACAGATGGTTGTGACAAGGAAGAAAAAGTAGGAAGAGGGGAAGGGACGGAAGAAATATAGAAGATAAGTTACTTCCAATTTCTGCAGTTGGATTTATAAATATACAGCGTGTATATGATCGATTTCAGTTATTATAGTTAGGATCTGGAGAAGATGGTAGCGGGGAATGGTTGGTTAAGAATTTTGTAGAAGAGGTTAGAGGGCATTATTTTGTAAATATGAGATGTAAATGCAAAGGAAAATCTTTCGGCTTTTTGTCTCTCTAACAATGCAGCCTTTTTATTGTTGATTTGAACGTTACTGCACTTGGAAATTTAGAGCATGTCAAAAATGGTGCTTGCAATTGTTTCTCCTTTTTCTCGCTAATTCGATTTGATAATCCGATGTGTTTTTGAAGTACAGTTCTTGTCTCATTTTTTAAGTTAATGAATATTTGATCCAATAATTTGATTCAAATTTAAAAGTGTAGGGGATATTGAATGCATGTTTAGAATATTTGGAGTAAACGGGCAATTTGGTTACCAGTTAAATTAAGTTTATGATTTTTTTTTTTTTTTTTCACAAAAATAAGTTAAACTCGTTTTAGACTGTAAACTTATTATAACGTTTGAACATTAGTATGTTTGGCTTGTAAAGCTCGTGAACAACTCAAAATTTTTTACAAGACAGCTCAAGGTAGGCTTGAGGTCGGCTTGGTCATTCAAACTCCGACAACTCTTGTGAAGCATGTATTTGGAGGGCCAAGTTCAACTAACTCAATTAACAAAACAAAGAAACAAAGAAATAGAAACTTAAGGACAACGGTCTTCACTTATAAGTGAGATGTCTCAGCGTCGAATCTTGGGAATGGTGAGTTTGCAACCAATTTATTCCAAAAAGAAATAGAGACTTGGTACAACGGTCTTCACTTATAAGTGAGATGTCTCTGTGTTGAATCTCAATAATGGTTAGTTTGCAACCAATTTATTCCCCTACCCACTTAGCGTAAATATATTGTTGTACTAAAAAGGAGTAGGATTCTTTGCCCTCCTAATCCCTTCCTTCCAGTTCCCTCCTCTCTCACTTTCCTCTTTGTTTCTCTCTCTAGAAAGAAGTCAACAAAGATGTTGACATTGCTTAATCGTGACTGTTCAAATAGGAGGGGACCCAAGGGGAGAGAAATTTGGAGGGGAGAGAATCATACTCCATTAAAAAGAAAACTAAAAATGATACTTTGATGGGGTTTCTTATTTCTTGTGGAACTAAGTAAAAACATATATCATGATATTTTTTTAGGGAAATTGATAGGAATGACCCATTTTCTTAATCTTAGGACTGAACTAGAATTTTTCGAATATGCACAGAGTATGCACAAGCCATGCACAACAATAGAACAGAAATAAGATTTTTCTTACACCTTGAAATGACCTAATTGCCTTTGTATATAAATGGGTTAATTTGTCAAACCCAGTTAGCATTTGCACCTCCTTATTCGAAAATCTCTAGCGCCCAACCCTTAGCTCTAAGAACTCTAACCCCAAACGGCTCGACCCTTTCCACCCTAGTTTTTGACCGACGCTAACTTTGGAATCTGTTCTATATATTTCTCAGCCTAGGCGAGAGTGTTATCCATCCTTTAAAAAATTTTCAATGGTAAAATCGAAAAAGGTATGGTTTGAAATGAATTTTATAATGTCGACCTAGGTTTTGTAATTTTTGGAATTTTGGGTTTTGGGTGCAGTTTAGTGTTTTGTACTATTAAGTTGTTCGATATTAATTTGCGCTGTGTGTGTGATTTAGATGTTGTTGGAAATTAGTTAATTCAAATTTGTTCATCATTCGTGTATATTGTGTGCATAATATGTGCATGTCTCTATGTTGGACACGCTTGAATTTGGTTCATGAATTGGTTAAATTTGTGCATACTGTATGTATATTCTATGCTTATCCCTTTGATATTGCTGGAAATAATTGATTGAATTTTGTTCATGAATTGGCAGATATTATATGCATAGTATGTGCATATTCTGTGCCTAGTATGTGCATCTTCCATGCATGTTTAGATGTTGGGCATATTTGGTTGATGAATTGATTCAATTGGGGCAGACAATATGCATATACTGTACATATCATGTGTGCATGTTTATCTTATTAATTTGATTTGCTTATGTTGAAAATCTTGCATGTTAAAAGTCAAATCTTCATCTCTGTCAGAACTTGTGTGTCCACCGGATGAGGTGTTTCCTACTACCATCTCCTGTCTGTCATACAACTCGAGGTGTTTGGGTAATATTAGAAGACGATTTTCAAGGGATTTCCTGAAGAAATTCAAGGATTCTTGTTTCGGTCATTTGGTTGATGTGGATCGCATTGACTGGTTTGGGTAGTTCAACCACTACATTATCCTTAGGGCTATTAAGGATACAGTGAGTGATGATTCTATCTTTTTCCTTTTTGGGGAACGTGTTGTGACTTTTGGGAGCCGTGCATTCTGTTTGGTGAGTGGACTCAGTTTTGGAGGATTTCCTCCTTTTTAAAGACAATGAAGATGAATGTTGTATTAGAGAGATTTATTTCAGGGAGAAGAAGAAGATAACCCTGAAACAATTGGAGGATCAATTCAACTTGTGCCAAAACCAAGGCGATCTCTACAAGCTAGGTCTACTGTACTTCATCCACTTTGTTGTTTTGGGCAAGGAGAAGGACTCATCCATTAACTACCACCTGCTTAAGTTGGTAGATAATCAAGAAAAATGGGAGACATATTCCAGGGGATTTGCATCAATCTAGTTGTTAATGCCAATCATAACCGCGGCCGCTTTGGCCCGCCATAAGTTTGTAAAAGAAAAAAATGTAGACAAACTAGGGGCTGCGATCCAGGACACCTATAGCTTAAGGGGGTTTACGTATGTTTTTATAAGTTTAACATACTTTTGCATTCATTTTCACTGCAAGTTATTTACATTATCACTTTAAATTTTGTAGAACTAGTTGTTTGAAACTTTGCTATACTTGAAGACCAAAAACTATGTGAGGGTGCGGACGGAGAACCCTAAGTTATTGTCCTTGAATTGCCTTTGGGACACCAACTTAAATCCGTCCCATGAGAAGTTGAAGAGGAGTTTTTTTGCTCAACAATCGGTATGTGTTTGTTCCAATTTTAAAAAACTTACTGAATTTTTATTAACAATTGATTGTTCGTACTTACGCAACACCGATTTTGTCGAATGCAGCTTCTTATCCAGCCGATTACTCCCACCAAGGAAGAAAAGAAGGCGGCTTACTGGAACATCATGTTTGATAATGTTTCGCCTTGTAGGGATGCAACATCGGAAGACGAAAGTAAAGATTTTGCGGATGTTGATCACGACTCCGAGGCCACTCCTTCATCC